CTACCTTAATTATTGGGTTTGTTAAAGTTTCATACCTCGTTGTTAAAAAATTTCAATGTCATACCTTATCTACGAATTTTTTACAATTTCATACCTTCCGTTAAATTTCTGTCAATTCTTCCGTTAAATAGTGACGTGGTATGAGACGGGACCCATTATCTATTAAAAAAATAATTAAATATTAAAAAAATAATTAAATAAAAAAAATAAAATCATTTTTATTATTATTTTTTGGCATGGGGACCCAACCCTTCCTAAAGGATGCTAGCTTATATGGAAATTACCGTACTTGGGGACTAGTATAGAAATATGACCATAATTGAAGGGAGTTCCATGCATGCAAACTATATATATGTAGACTTGTTGCAATGACAGGTTAAGATCCAACTTAATCATTGGCACCAAAAACGATTCCGATGATACGACTTCGAAAAAGATTGACGTCTAAGAGAAGATTATCAGTTGGGGTGACTCTCGATCGAACGGGATACAAAACGAGAAGATAATATGGAGACAGTATCATTCACCACAATTCATTTTAAATACTAGATCAAACAAAGTTAAGTTCAAATACGACGCAAGGTGGTACTGACAGGAGTCATATAAATCCACAATTGAGCCAGCATCCAACTAATCAAGCACATAACATCTTATATTCATGTTATTCTCAACTCGTAGTTGTCGTCGAAACTCTGGATAATCTGCTTCATGCCTCACTTATTACTGTGCTTTCCTATACGCTACCTCGTATGAATCCTCGAACAACTACGACTTAAGCCCAAATGAAACTCGAACGGAGTCTCTCGAGACTTTCAACCAAGTAAAATTAAACTCATAAACTTATATCCAGAGTTTATCAGAACCATATATATTTTGTGAAACATCTAGTAGGCGAACATATGCATGCATATATGATCATCATAAAAAAAAAATTTAAATAAAAAAAACAAAAAGTATAGAAGAGAAAGAACCAAATTCAGTCATTTCAACAATCAACACATGGAATTCAAACTTTTACTACACACAATATAATTGGATTTAACACTGCGACACTCACAATGCTATATATGTTGGAGAATAAACGTTTTCACAAGACCCGTCAGTAATGACATCTTCAGCTTCTCTAGAAATCCGAAGCCCTAAGTTCACCCTCGATGTCATCCACAACCTGCGGTTGCAGCTGTGGTTGCTGCTGTGGTTGCGGCAGAGGTTGCTGCTGTGGCTGCGGCTGAGGTTGCGGCTTTGGTGATATCTGTGTGTTCCATCTGCTCTTTCTTACAACACATCTTACTACAGAGATGGATAACCAGTGTAACAAATAGTGAGATGCCGATTGCAATCACGATGTTAACAACCACGCCAGTAATTTTTTTTTCCGGTGACTTCTGGCCCCGTGCTCTTATAGTTAGAGGTTTTCTGGAGTGCAGATTCTCTATGTTGAGCTCGTGGATAAGAGGAACTCCATCCGGTACAGCTGCGCCTACTTGCCATACCTGCAAAAACAAAGAGCACCTTATGTGAGTCGGTACGATTGCATCTAACTCATCGCTACATACCGAACACCCTTTTCAGAAAGAAAAAAAAAAAAAAAAAAAACAAGATAAAACTCACATAAAACCAAAAAGGTTATAATGTAAAGTAACAAAAGCAAATGATGAAGGGAAAATGTTCAAAGTGATTATCATCACCACATACGTGGGGTCACCATCAGCACACAACCCTAAACCTTCGATCGGGGTTAATAAAACTATGGTGTTTTCCCACCCCAATAGGTGGTAACAAATCACTAGCAATCCTCAGGTTTATTAATCAAGGGATCTGGGTGATGATGGTTGAAAAATTATTTTAATTACAGTGCCAATATATAACATATTCTTTTCTAAGAAGCTAAAAAATATATGATCAGACTTTTCCCTTACCATGTTCAAAGTTTGAATATTTTCTGGCATCCTTATCGTAACAAATATGGTGATGAATCCCAACGCCGTGGATGCCTCGGCACTCATCTGCCATACCTCAAAATCAATTGGAGCCTCTACTAGGATGGTATACGAGGTTAAATGGAACGTCTTCACCGTTATGCTGCCGATGGGTTGTCTAAAGGCAACCAACACTTGTGCCCCGAGCATGCCTGTGCTGATTGGGTTTATCCCCCATGCAATCCAGCCCTCTGGTTCGGCAGGCGGAGCAGTGAAGGCGATCGACAAGGAGGAGATAGACGGGTCGAACAACCAGTAAAGGCGAGAGTTGAGTGTAGGGAGGTCGTCACATTCGTTGTAACTTGTATTTGGGAAAATCTGGCTTGGGCAGTTGGAGTGGACCGATGATACTGAGAATATTAAGATCAAAGCTATAAACCCTAGAAAGTTTACCATGTCATATCAACTTTTTGTTCACAACCCAAAACTGCAAATGGAATCCTTTTTATGGTACTCACCAAAGTCAGACGTATTTGCAGGGAACCTTCACGAGGCTCAAGATGACGTCGATTTTTCTTTTTTGGTCATAGCTCAAGAAGACGTCGTTGATATATAGGAATGGAACAAGAAAGTACTCATTCATCGCGTACTGCATACACATTAGATTAGACTACTAGAGAATTCTAGAGAATTCTTAAATTTAAAAAAATAAAAATTAAAAAAAATAAAAAAACTAAGAAAATCATTTTTAAAACATATTTTGTAAATGACACGGTTGATGGTTGAATTTCATATAAAGAAAGAATTCAGCTATCAACCGTCATATCATGCGGTATATAAATTATGGTCTAAAAAGATGATCTATCTAGCATAAAAAAAACACTTCTAAGGACACAAACATGCAAATAGTGAATTGATCTTTTGGTTTTTTTTGTTTTTTTTGTTCAATCCACTACTGAGTTCAAACCATTAATTCCTCTTCATCATAGCAGTGATATTATTTATAATTAAAATATATATATATATATATATGCAGCCCATAAACTGAAACCCAAAACATATAGGTTTCAGCAGCCCATAAACTGAAACCCAAATCATATAGGTTTTGGAACACCGTCATCATAATGTTTCATGTTAATGGTAAATGTAGTGTAAAAAATATTTCACGCTGTATTATTGACCTAAAATGCTACATTGTATCCGAGAATATGGCCTGGTATACCAAGTGTCCTAATACAAATAATAAAAAAAATTAATTTTTAAAGTACTCAACCATTAATTATAATATTTGGTGTGTCAGATAGTGTTTCCGACACAGAAAAATTAAAGTGTTAAACTCCAATAACCAAAGCTAGCTCTACAAAAATAAATAAACGAAAAGAAATAGACAGATGGATTTATATTTTCCGAGTTCGCCACGCGCACACGGTGATTCCAATACTTATCAAACAAGATTCTTGTGTTCAGACCATAAAAGGAAGAATACTGGCTTTTTGTAAAAACAAAGGAACTTTCATAAAATAAACATAAAAACCTAGAAGAACTATATATCACTATCAGACGCGGCGTACAGAATGGAGATAGACCAAGTAAAAATAAAAAACGCTAAGCCTTATAGCGTGAGTTTGTAAGTGAAAAATATTAAAGAGATCATTTGTACGAAAGATAAGTTAAAACAACGAGAGATCCATTATCATCTCACGTTCATGTTACATTAAACATGACCTTGAATCCTTGTGGGGATTGTAATTAGTAGCTCGGATGCAACCCAACACCAATAGGCAGGTACAAAATCATTGATGATTCTTAATTGGGTAATGCTAGAGACTAAATTTGTAGACAAAATTTACAAACTAGATGATCTGTTACCAATATGATTGAGCACGTTTGTTAACGCTTAAGTCATAATCCAATCATCAACTTCTATATCATTTAATTTACAAAATTTGGTTTACAAATTTAATCTCTTTAGTATTACCCATCTTAATTAGTTAAGGAAAAGAAAGAAATCAAGAGATTGTAGATACAATATTTCCCTTTTACTTGGTAAATCAGCATTTTATATGCATAGTATATCTATTTGTTTCCTTGAGAAACAACTTGGATACTTCACTGGTTGGACCATTCAAACTTGGTTGCCCATTTCTTTTTTAACATTAAACCATATAATACGTTTCAAATAAGCGATTAAGGGGGAGTTGGGATCTTTCCTAGAAAAAGCATATAAACAATGATGTATGCATTATACACAATAGTACAAGATTAATTTGCATTTGTTCGCCAAGAAACATAACTTTTAAATCTTTTTATTTAATGAAAACCAACTTTTAATCGAGCGTGAATTGCTTGAAAATTAGTTTATTGAGTGATTTTTACTCATCATCTTGTTTATTGTAGTTAGATAAATTTAATTTTGAGATTTGTATTCATCCACTACATAAATCAAAATTTAAACTTATCTAACCATAATAAATAGAAAGGAAAAATAATGAAAATGACTTGAAATTTTTGAGTTTTAACGATAAGGACAAAATAAAGGACAAAGTGAATAGTACCGGGATTGATTTTTTAGTGTAAAAATGTGGTTTTTCGTTAAAGTGAACAGTACCAGTAACTTTTCGTTAAAGTTCCCTAAATAGAATGATAAGCATAGCTAAGCAAAAGAAGATACAAATCCATTCATAACAGACTAATCAAATAACAAGATATTAAAATTTAGGTCATGTTACTAAGATCACTTCCTTAATCGAATTTCTAGCTTCGTTGCTGCATACATAAATCGCCCCCATGAAGGTCTGCGTAAGTGATATTATTTTATGTATAAATTTTTCTCTACAAGGCGCAAATGGGGGCACCCGTGCGACGGGATTCAAACTATGCAAACCCTAACTGGTCTGAATTCTGGCAAAATGATCCAGTTAGAGAAGCACGAGGCCCAGAATCATGGTCGGTAATAGGTGGGCTTGGGCTACTACAATCCAAGCAAGTCATTTTGGGCCGGGCCGAGGACTCAAGCCATACGTGGCGACAACGCACTGGTTGAATTCTTGGTACAGTTTTCACTCAAAAGTCCTGGTCCGCACCTGATAATTGCAAATTACAAAATTATAATTAGAACGCACAGGAAGGCAGCCTGCCTCCTCTGCAAGTAAAGTAGTCCTCAATTCTCTACTTTTATGTTCTTCTCGATCAATCTCTCACGATCTTTCTTCACAATCTGCAACCATGGTGCTCGAGGTAAGAAGAGTTCCGAAACCCTAATCTCCCCTTCACGCCCTCGGTTAATTTCCGCACTGCAAGTTCGAATTCCCCAAGTTCTTGGATTTTCTCGCGAATTAGGGTTTAAATTTAGGGAAGTTTTGTTTGTTTAATTGTTCGGTTCGGTTTGTTTGACAGGCGACAATGATCTGCATTGATAATTCGGAATGGATGCGGAACGGCGATTACTCGCCGTCGAGGTTTCAAGCTCAGGCTGATGCTGTCAATCTGATCTGCGGAGCTAAAACCCAGGTAAAGATTTCTAATTTCTGATTCTTTATTGTTATTTGGTCCCGTTATTCTTTGCTTGATTGTTGGGTAGTTTGAGATAGGATAGGAAAACTTCGATTGCCTTGGTGGGTTGAACTCAGCTTAACTTTTGCATTAGTTGATTACAGATAATCTCCCACTAAGCATTGCTTCATTGGAATTATGTAACTTTTGGGATTTGAATTGCGTTCTGTTGTTTACCATATTGTAGATTGTTGTTTGATTGTGTTCTGGTGCGTTCATTGCATCGAGAAAGGGAAGGAGACGAGCTTTTTGTGGTTTGTTTTTGGTTGCTGGGTCAGATATATGATCCTAATGGTTCCTTTTGGTTTTCCAATTGCACTCATATTGATATGGGTTTTTGTAAACAGTCTAATCCGGAGAATACAGTAGGAGTTCTCACAATGGCAGGAAAAGGTGTTCGCGTTTTGGTCACTCCAACCAGTGATCTAGGCAAGATTCTTGCATGCATGCATGGTAACTACTTTTACTTTAATATCTCACACATATGATTCTTGACTACATTCTCATTCCCATTGTTATCGAGTCTTGCTTGTTGTCTGTAATAGAATGCATTCATTGATATTTTGACCCCTTTTGAATATCTAGGTTTAGAAATCGGTGGTGAGATGAACCTGGCTGCTGGCATTCAGGTGGCTCAATTGGCTCTCAAGCATCGCCAAAATAAGAAACAGCAACAGAGGATTATCGTGTTTGCTGGAAGGTTCATAATTCCAAGCCATGCTTTTTTTTTTTTTTTCATTTTTTTATTTGCTGTTTTATTGCATATTGAGGACTTTGACTTATGTGTATTTCAGTCCTGTCAAACATGAGAAAAAGCTTTTAGAGATGATTGGAAGGAAGTTAAAGAAGAACAGTGTAGCCCTTGATATTGTCAATTTTGGTGAAGAAGATGAAGATAAGTCAGAGAAGCTAGAAGCACTACTTGCTGCTGTGAACAATAATGATACCAGTCACATTGTTCATGTACCAGCAGGTCCAAGTGCTCTTTCTGATGTACTTATAAGGTCAGTGTTTTGATTGCTTCCTTAATTTCTTTAAATTTTAATGTTTCAAAGTTGAGGGAATACCCGACTCCCTGAATTTAACTTGGGTCTCAGCACCCTGAACTTTAAAGAGATACTCTTTTATATGAAAAAAACTTGAAATATGGCACTTTTTTATATGAAAATCCATAAATGTAACACTTAATCCCCTAATTAACAAACTTTTTGTTTATTTGTTCCAAATCTTAAGTTTTGTTGATGATTTATAACAAAGTGGTCAAGTCAGTGGTACCTCAACACTTATGAGCCACGTTGGTTCAAAAGTTAGGATTTGGATGAATTAAAACATCAATGTCATTAAGGGTTTGTTTGTCAGAATTTTGAACTTCAAAACTAGTACAGGATACAAAGGACAGCTCATGGAGGATTGATGAAATTTACCCTTGGAATTTTTTATTTATGTTTCCTTTTCTACTATGGCAGTACACCCATCTTCACTGGGGATGGGGAGGGTGGGAGTGGTTTTGCAGCGGCAGCTGCTGCTGCTGCTGCAGGTGGTGTCTCTGGTTTTGATTTTGGCGTGGATCCAAACCTGGATCCTGAGCTTGCCCTTGCTCTTAGAGTTTCAATGGAAGAGGAGAGGGCCAGACAAGAAGCAGCTGCTAAGAAAGCAGCTGAGGATGCTGGCAAACAGGAAAAAGGAGGGGAGGGGCAATCCAGCTCACAAGATGCAATGATGACAGAGCGGGCCAGTGTTGGGACTTCTGAAGCTGAGAATAAGAGTAGTGATTTCATGGTGGGTGTCATTTCCTTATTTCCTTTTTTCTTTTTCTTTTTTATTTTATGAATAAGGAGTTGAGGGAGGGTGTAGCATTACAAGAATATACATTCTCATGTCCTGACATACCATGAAGTTTGCTAGCACCCTCGAGTTCTAATTGATCTTTTTCTTGGGTTGTTTTAAATGTCGTTAATTCTTCATTATGCCTTTTCTTTTATCGGTTACATAGCCTTATCTTTTGTGTTGTGTTGTGTTGTCCTTAGCATGAAAGAAAAACCATTATGTGTAAACTGACCATAAACTGACAACAGGATGATGAGAATGCTCTGCTACAACAGGCCCTTGCGATGTCGATGGATGAACCTGCTTCCAGCCATGATATTCGAGACATGGATATGTCTGAGGCAACTGATCCAGAGTTGGCTCTAGGTGAGTTTTTACACTTTACCATACTCCTGTCTTGCATGGATGCATAGGTTGAAGAACATGTTAGGCCCTATTTGGTATCCATCTTGGATCCAATTTTTTTGTTTTACAAAATGATGAATGTAACTAAATTACTTAATATTCATTAGTTTCAAAAACCAAAAATAGGATCTGAGAAGGATACAAAACAACCCCTTAGGTTTTTGCTATTTCTCATTGGTTGGACTAGGAATTAAGAGACCAAGTGTAAGATGCTGTTGCAAAAAATGTGAAGCCTCAACCATTTAGTATGTGTTGCTCATTTTGAGTCATTTCACTTCAGAAAATGTGTTGTCTAAGCTTTGTGCTTATCATTTGGTTCTGTCCATTTACTAATTGGCAGAAACACTGAAATTCTTAGCATTGAATATAACTGCTTTGGTGAATTTAATTAATATGGTTCTCCTTGGTCATATATTCTGTAATTTCCCAATATCATAATGACTGTTATGTAAGTAAGTATTAAGCTTTAATTCCTCATATTTGGTGCTTGCAGCTCTTCAATTGTCTGTTCAGGAAGGTGAAAAAGATTCTGGTAGCGAGAAAGATATGAGTAAATTATTAGCCGACCAGTCTTTCGTGTCTTCCATCCTTGCCTCGGTATGTCTACAACATTCTCTTTTTCTTCCTTCCCTCCCCAGTGGAGAAGTGCAGTATAAACCATCTCCTCTGGTAAATTAATCACATGACATTTAAATGTTTCTGCAGCTTCCAGGGGTTGACCCAAATGATCCTTCAGTTAAAGATTTGCTTGCTTCCATGCAAAACCAGTCAGAGGTGAGATTATCAAACTTCTGAGTATGTTTTATGAACAAAAGAAATTAGAGTGCTAATACAATGTGTGCTGACCTGTTGCTCCGGACAAAATGAATTCTAAATGCGTGTCATTGACAGTTATTGATGTGACATTGAATCGGTCATCCCTCTAGGATAGGAACATTAAGATCAGTAGTACTTTTGTGTGTTATCTGTGTTTCAAACTGAGTGCTTATGCTTTAGTGGAATTTGTGAACCAGTTATGTCAGCTACAGGCTTTATCCATAACAAGAGCTTTAACATCATCCCAGCTTCTTTGAACCCCGCTAGGAGCCACATCTAGCTTTATACCATAGTGCTTCTTCTTTAGTCCTCGTATTGCCTTAATAGGTTCTAAGTGGGGTCTCTACACAACATTTGTCGAAGATGTTCAACTAGAGCACCTAGGTGTGGGGGCTAGGCGGAAAAACCAATTAGCACCTCTTGTACCTATGAGTGAGAGTAAGTCACTCAGGCAATTGCTTCTAACACTTGGAAAACCTACTAATTTTGCATACCCAACACATACTTGCTTATTGTGTAAATGAAACCGCATACTTCGGTATCCTTTCCTAACATTATACGATTTTTATTTCTGGATTTACTTGTTTGATTAAATTACACTCGTCTATATTGTTTACTGACATTATTTTATTTGTTCTCTATCTAAGCCTGATCAGAAGAACGAAGACAAACCACCAAAAGAGGAGGAGAAATGATGCACGTCTGGAGTTATCTTTTCAAATACAGGTTTCGTTTGCTGAATTCACCCAGTTCATGTCCGTTGCCAACTTGCGCTGAAAGATGTTTCCAATTGGCTGCAAATCTCTCCACCCTTTAGTGATCGTCTCTCTAATCGGGTTCTGACCTTTAAGCTTGTAGATTGAAATTTGGATCAACGTTCGTTCTCCAGGTCAGGAAGCTCCGTTTCTACAACAGTACATTGATCCTTTATCATATTCGCTTCATACGGCTTCAGATAAACTGATGGCGTTCTAGCAATAGGCTTGCAACATTGATGTGTATCTCTGCATTGAATTAATATTTAAATTGTTACCAACGACGATATTTTTACTGGGTGTTCCTTCTTGTTAGTGGTGATTACTTCGGTAACTACTAAGTGACATCCTTCTGACTTTGTTCATGATGGTGATGAATAATTGCGTGATGCCATAAGCTCGTGTTCAACTTCCCAGTAAGTCTAGCAGGTAAAAATATGTCTCCATTTATGTAGACCGTTGTTGCATTGTAGGTCTCATATGCATCAATGGTTGATAGTCACTCACTTGCATAAACATTCCTCCCGGTAATAAAACTACGCGACAAACACATTCAAACAGAACACAATTTTTAATACGGTCTCTGTTCGACAAGTATGATGTATTGGTGATTTGGTCTTCGTTTTGATTGTTGGGATGTCAAAATCGTATGCAAAACGAGGATTAATAGTCATATAAATATTAGGATGCTGTCTATTTTGGCGCACATATGGTCTTATATGTCACGTTGGATTCAAGCATCTCTCCAAATTTGAAGGGGACTAAAAAAATGAAACATTGGTATTAGTATCAAACAAGCATGTTACTATATTTGTTAAAGAAAATTAATGAAAATTGTTTGAAAATTTTGAGGTTTAACGACAAGGACAAAATAAAGGGTAAAGTGAATAGTATCAAGATTGATTTTTTAGTGTAAAAATGTGATTTTTCGTTAAAGTGAACAGTATTGGGAGCTTTTCGTTAAAGTTCCCTATTTTTAATGGATGTCCCCTCCTGTGAATTATTTGTCACATATGATGGTTTTTAGGTTAACAATTTTCTCAATTTCGTATTGATTTACTCTTGTACTACAAAAATTGACATGCTTGCTAAGAGTTTGAAAAACTTTAATACACGTGCCCCCCATACGATGATACGACTTACCTCAAATAGAATCAAATGTAAGAGAGTTGGATTCTCTTCCCTCCATATTCCCCTTCCTACCCTCTTCTCTCAATTTCGTCTTCTTCTTTCTCTTTCTGCAAAGAAAGTAAAACAAGATGATGTAGCGTAATATTGAGCGTTCAAATAGGAGAGGAGGAAGGGGAAAGAATCTAAATCTGTATGTAAGTGATTGTGTGAGTTTTGCATGTACAAACAATATAATTGTCATAAGATTCTGCTCTAGCTGTAATGAGTAAGATGGAACCAAATCTTTCCTAATAAAAATTGACGCAAAGGATGCTTCCAACATTAATCAAGGGCCTAACCTCTTCCCCTTTAATGTAAATAATATCGTTTATTCTAGAAAAAAAATAAAAAGAAAAGGTAATGAATATAATAGAGTTGTATAATCATTTGAAAAAGCTAACAAAAATAGAGACAAAAGTAATTTTCACACACAATCATTACATAAGTTTGAAAAGAAGAAAACTTGGTGCAAAAGTTTTATATTAACCGTCTTTGTCAACCAAAGATGCTCCCGCGGCTCATTTTCTAACTTTGGGTTCGAGAGTTGAACAGTTCTCCATATATGAAGAAAAAGGAGACAACGAGCCTATGAAATCGGTATCCCGATATGCAAGTTAAAAGTGAACAAACACAATGAATGACCCCCGATGAAACATTACGTGTAGACAAATGTCTCGCTTGGCACTGAGAATTGGATTGGAATAGATAAACCATTATATCGGATAAGTGGGATTGGGAACGATGCAACATGGAGGGAGAGAGGATGGGGCATGTATAAATGCGATTAATGTGTGTAAGCACGATCGCATATTCAAATCTACAATTTACAATTGTGTTTACATGTATTGCATGTTCGTATTATATCATGTTGTATGTGATTTTGTCAAGTTTAAACTTAGGGTATATTATCCACATACCTTTTTTTACTTCTCACACATTTCTTGTTAATTTCTATCATTTGATCTTCTTCAATTTATTTGATCTGACAGTCGGAAATAAAGAGGGGTGTGGAAAGTTAAAAGTGGTGTGTAGTTCACCGTTGAGAAATATCATTTAAATGTACAAATCTAACACACTTGTTGACACGCCATATTTAATATTAGAGCTGTAGGAAATCTTTAAGAGAAGAGATCCTCATATTTTTTTTAATAAAATGGAGATTAGTTGTGGGGTCCACACTACATTGAACTTTAACGATCCAAACCGTCTATTTTTCAAGTTGCAACTCATAGATCATCCTTGCAAAATATTAGCCAAATTGGAAATGTTTAATACATCTAATTGGGTTCAAAGAAATTAACAAATACTTTGTTATATAATAAACAATGGAATTTTATTTGATAATTAAATAGGCAAATGATTTTGGATTGAATTGAATTTTTGCAAGGATAATCTATGAATCGAGAATTACAAAATAGATATTTCTGATCGTTGAAGTTTGATGTGGAGTGGACCTCACATTGAATCCTCATTTTTTGAAAAAAATGAAGATCTCTTTACATAAAGGGCCTGTATCGTAGAGTATGAATGTGTCCGTTTCAATTTGTGGGTGACAAATATTATTGTAGTTTGCGATTATAAGCATTGGGATTAACCTAAGGACAATCTGTAGCCGTCAAATTCACCCCTAAAGGGCCAAAACCAAACTCAAATCCACATCTAACGGCCAAAAAAGTGGCGGTAAATTAACTAAGCCGTTTACAATTCACTCCCCATCGTTTGAAGAATTTAATAACGGCTCCTCTGTCACAGATGCCGCCATTAACTTTGATATCTCAAAAGGCCACAAGCTTTGCCAAGCTAACAAAAATGGAGCCCCATCCCCCCTACACGCCCTCGTACAGACTGCCCACCTTCACTATCCAGTCCCGTCTCACCCTCTATATATTTAGGCCGGCCATTTTATTCCAACGGAGAAACCGAGGCCTCTTTTGTCCTGTCCTACCTGAAATTGCCAATCACAAGGTTAACAATCGTGGCAACAGGTCACAGATTCGCGGAGTCTGTTTTTGATATAACTCGGCAGAGCGAAAACCTTTTTTCGGTCTTCGAAAATGGAGAAGGTGGAAACTTTGGAGTTGGGTTTTCGGCTTGTGGTTGTTTTAGTTGTGGGTTGTTTGTGTAGGGAGGCTGTTGGCGGCGGTTTTGTGAAGTATGAGACGGGGAGTGGCATGGTGGAGGGAAAACTGAATGTTCATTTGGTGGCGCATTCTCACGATGATGTCGGGTGGTTGAAGACGGTTGATCAGTACTATGTTGGATCAAACAACAGCATTCAGGTCATCCAATAAAAATGGACAATCAAATTTGTATACAATATATGAGTTCGTTTGATCCAGTTCATGTAGAAAACACTTCTGTTGATAAGCGTTTTTGCTAGAAATGCTTTTATCAGAGTCTCTCTGTTGATAAGCGTTTTTGCAAAAAATCCAAGTGCTTTCACTGAAAAGTGGTTTTATGATGCAAAACCACCTTATAAGGTTTTTGCCAAAAGTGCTTTTGATTGTCTTAATATGCTAGTTACTTTAATCATTAACTAGTTAATGAATTTGCTCATTTTGATTAGGGTGCTTGTGTTGAGAATACGTTGGATTCTGTTGTTGAATCGTTGGTTCGTGATCCGAACAGGAAGTTTGTGTTTGCTGAGATGGTAAGAGTAATTAAGCACCCCAACATGATCAAGTTTTTTAAATTTTTAATTCTTTTTGTTTTCTGATTTGTTTAGCATGAATATTAGGCATTCTTCCAAAGATGGTGGTTAACACAAAGTCCGGGAATTCAAGCTCTCGTGCGAAAACTAGTAGATGACGGGCAGTTAGAGTTTTGTGTATGCTTCTATCGACTTGAATCTTTGATTTGCGTAAGGAAATGTGTTTGGTTTGCATCTTTTAATCTGTTACAAGAATTTCTGTTGCATATATAGAAATGGTGGTTGGTGTATGCATGATGAAGCAACAACCCATTACATAGACATGATTGATCAAACGACGCTAGGTCACCGTGCAATAAAGGCGCAGTTCAACAAGACGCCTCGTGCTGGATGGCAGATTGATCCCTTTGGACACTCTGCCGTGCAAGCTTACTTACTCACAGCTGAGGTCAATTTGTTATGCTTCGTTATTTTTCTACGTTGATTTTGTCACGTGCTTGAATCCGAACTTTATTTTGTACTGTATAATTCTGATGGAGTTGATTCTTACAATGTTATTGCAGCTCGGGTTTGATTCTGTGCATTTTGCAAGGATTGATTATCAGGACAGAGCGAAGCGCAAGGAGGATAAGTCTCTCGAAGTTATATGGCGAGGATCCAAAACTTTCGGTTCTTCATCTCAGGTTTAGAACTACAACTCTTGCACTGTTACTATTTTAATTACAAAACTTTTTACTTTCATTTAGGTAAAAAATGTAATTTAATGCATACTATACAACTACCGGGCCTTCTGCAGATTTTTGCCAATGCATTTCCGGTTAACTATAATCCACCTCCCGGTTTCCATTTCGAAGTATTTGACGACGTCATCCCTGTCCAGGTTCTAGTTTCAACAGAGAGTAACTTTTCCCATCAAGTATTTGATGTTCTTTCAGGGTGGATGTAATGAGGTGTCAACTAATCTGTTGAATGATAAAACTGCAGGATAATCCTCTTCTGTTCAACTACAATGTTGAACAGCGTGTAAGCGATTTCATTAGCGCTTCAGTTACCCAAGTAATCACCTTATCCCTTGAGTACATAATGAAGTTTATGCGTTCTTAAGTGCTCCTTTAATTTTCTTATTTTCTTTTATCTCATGGCGAAAGCTGAAGCATGTATATGAGAAATGATTGAATGATCTTGGTGTGCAGGCAAATGTGACAAGGACGAATCACGTTATGTGGACGATGGGTGATGATTTCCAGTACCAATATGCAGAATCATGGTTCAAACAAATGGACAAGTTAATTCACTATGTTAATAAGGTAGAGTTTAATCACAAACCTCATACTATTGTGTGGATTTCAAGTTCAACGTTGCATCATTGAGCTTATTTTTGTTTTCAGGACGGTCGAGTTAATGCCTTGTATTCTACACCATCTATCTATGCCGATGCTAAAAATGCAGCAAACCAGTCATGGCCACTGAAAACTGAGGATTATTTTCCGTGAGT